TTTTTGAAGGGAGAGCATGATAGTTGGGCATTCCATAAAATTATCTGAAAACTCGTCGAGAGAGAGGGAGAGCAGGAACTTAAGTTTGAGCTCAAGTTTTTGTTGTATGTGTGTCAAAAGTGTGTGTGTGTCAAAGTCCCACATCGATTAAAAGAAAGACTCTCATAGTGTATATATACTAAGGAATGAAGTGGGCTAGTAAAATGGGCTTGGAAGAGAAGTGGCCTCGCACACATGAGACAGGCCAACTCAGGGCAATCGCAGTTGAAATCAACCGATTCGCCCCCCTGCGCGCGAGTTTAAGAGGTAGTGGGTTCCTTTTACCGGATTATTTTGGCTTGAAAACAAATTAATTTTTTCTAAACGGTTGTCTTCCCAAACGTTCCCAACGTTTCCAGAGTTGAATGCGTTTTGTGTAACTCCAACATTTCCAGACAAGTTTTTAAATAATTTTTATGAGACTGTAACCGAGCTTTTAAACCGGTGGTAACCCCCCAACGTTCATGTCCACCTTCGAGCTATATATAGCCATGGGTTCAGACAGAGCAAAATACAGAAGCCTCTTGAGTCCTTGCGGTTCTCTCTTCCTCCCTCTGTGAATCTATCTGTGTGCCTCTGTAATTACGTTTGGTCTCCGTTATTCTGTTCTCCTCGTTCCACCGAGGAAATGCTTGTTTAATCCTGCGAAACTGCCGGGCGTCCGAGGGTGTGCCGGAATAGTTCTTAAGGACAGTGTCCTTCTGGGCACGACTCAAGCAACAAGTCAGTAGTTTGCTGCTACACACATTTGCCGCTGGTATTATTTAACAGTTTTTTCACCGACTAAATTTAAAATTTTGTTGGTGTGCATGAAAGCTAGAGAAGCGTGTATCGGATGGATAATATTCAGATTCTTGACTTATTTTATTGTAAACTGGATCGTAAACGAAGCATATAACACGTAACCAAACTTAAAGGACGAGAGCAAAAATATTGTGTGTGAGAAACGAATAGTGAATCGAGATTACAAGGCCGCGAGTATATATGACGGTAAATAATCTAAATTAATTTAAATTTGTTATTGTGAGGAATTTGGTTTATAAAATTTAAATGGAGATTTTTTTTTAATAAATGGAGATAATTGTTATTCTTCAACGATAACACATCCTCTTTAAAGAGTTGTTAAACGATGAGCTGATAGCTAATTTAAAGCGATATAATGGCAGTGGCGGCAGTAGCATGGAGCAGCATATGTGAGGGTGAGGCAGAATCCAAACCCGGCAAGTCGAAATAAATAAAAGATGCTTTTGCACGCTACTGTGTATGAATAAATAAATATAAGAATTGGAAGGTTGAGATGTGTGTCTTTACGTTCGATATTCAATTAGGAGTATGATTAAGGAGGTTAGTTGGAATTAACAGTATTGGTTTGTTTTTATCAGGCAGAGAATTATATAAACTAACGCGATGATCAGGATGGGTTTCAATCATTCACGGGGGCAATTATAGTGGAAGATGCCACGTTCTAAGGCTCCTGATTAACCACATGCCAACATCAAGAGATCATCCCCTCTCCTACCTTTTCCTCTCTTGTCTTGTCCCGACCTTGTTACAGACTACAGTCCCCTGTTCCCACTTCCTCCACTCTTCTCATTGTTTTTTTGGCTTTTGTATTAGTATTTTTTCAATTGACAACAATCATGTTCGAGACATTTTGGGCACTAGATGGAGGCATATCTCATAACAGATATTCTATTATTAGTTTATCATGTTTTGAGGGGTTAGTTCCTTTGGCTATATTCAATTCCCGTTGATTCTTCTATTTTCTCAATACCTCTCGCTGCACTAAAATGTTTTCAGTCCATGACTGATATTTGAATTTTTAAGCATGACTTTTTTTCTAAATAAAAATGACATATGCGTTAAATCATTACATTGGCGAATAATTCAATTGCATTGCTACAATTTTAATAATCACGAACACCGAATCACCTAAAGCTAAAATTTAAGTCGCCTGACCTTTTTTTAAAAGAAGAAGAAGAAGAAGAAATTCGCGGCCTCTTTCTTACGGTCAAATTAAGGTTTTAGCTTGTGAATTCTACACTGACTTTAACCGTGTCGTTATACAATATCAATATGGGTTCGTCTAACTTTTAATCTCCTTAAATCTTTACGTTAAGCAAGTTTTATTTGTATAGGAGTTCCCCCCCCCTCTGTCTCTCAAGTGAAGCTCTGTTCCATAAGATATTTGCTATCTCTTAAATTCCCGTAATAATTTATTAGCATAAGATCATTAATTTCCATGGCTCCAGCTATTTTGATATTGTTGTCCGCACTGATATATGTATAATTAATTTACAAGCAAACTATTTTTGATATTTTAGTGACCCAGAAGTATATAATAAAACTATTTAATTTCAAATAGAATTTGATAATGTTTAAAGTGTTTTTTATTGACTCTCGTTTATCCCATCATGCAAGGTTTCTATGCGCAACATAAAAATTAATATTTTGCAATAAAAAACCAGCGTTAGGGCTTTAAGAGCTGGGACGGATATCAAACGTCTTGTCAAACGTCCGTTGAAGGGATATTGGCCTATTGGGCATGAAATTCCCGTTTTGGCCGTCAAGTCAATGGATGAAATGTTGATTTCGGTTCAATTATTTTTGGCAGTCCAGTCAAATCAATGCTCTTGACCTTCCAATGCACAGACCATGTGACAAATAAAAAGGGAAACTAAAACATTATTAGACTGTTGATACTTGATCGCTACCTCCCACTCACTTAAGCTCTCCGGCGGTCAGTGATTAATTAACACAGCAGTCAAAGTTCTCAATATATGATCTAGTTTGATTTTAGTTTTTATCCCTCACTCACTTGAAAATCAAGTTAAAAATTATACTCCTTTGTTAAACATTACAATTTGAAGGACTCATAATAGAAGCCATAATTAGAAAATCAAAATCCATATGTTTGACATTAGTACAATGGTTTGTTTCTTATGCTCGGATATACAGAGAATCAAGTCTCAAAAAAAAAAAGAAGTCTCTTGTTATTTATGTGGTCTATAGCCTGACAAGTGTTCGTCTGAAAACTTTCAAGATGAAAACGCAATAAGATAGTGGGAGTTTTATCTGGGGCGGGTAGTTTAAGGTAAGTTTTTACCTTCTTAAGTAAGAAGTACCAAATCCAACCAAATAACCAGCAAACCCACGCTCCAAGAAGAAGTTGCTCGGAAGATTCCACCCAATAGCAGGATTCCGCGTCACTCGAGGCAAATTCAATGATTGTAATGATCCCGGACTGGGCACTCAACATGCCCTCTTTACATCATGCTATAAAACATTTTTTAATAGTTTATTTGATTCAAAATATATAACATTAAATAATTTTTATATTTATTTTTAACTATGCCCCTGTTTTATTTATTATTTTTTAAAAAAATCATGAATTAAAATTTTAATTATTATTATTATTAAGGTTCTTATAGAGAATATTTAATAAGGGTATAAATGAAAATATGTTGATATTTTTTAGTAAAATTTAAAGTTTCAATTAATATTATTGAAAATAAATTAATTAACTATAACTTGTACTATAATTCAGATGGACAGGGTTGGAGAGAGGGGGACCGATAGGGGTCATAGTCTTCATAACTTTTAAATTTTTTCTCAATAAATGTAAGAGTAGTATATTTTTAACCCCCTAAGTTGACACATTGTAAAAGCCTCGAAATCATAGACAAAATTCTTATTTTAATTTTATAGTAGTCTTTTATGTATATATTTCCTTATTTTTAATAAGATAACATTATAGTTGCTCTTAAATATTAATATTATAATAATTTTATAACGCACTGTAACAAAAATCTCAAGATATATTGAATAAAAAATATAACAATTTAAAAAAATTAAATAGTAAATTTAATAAGTAAATAATAGAGTTTTTTACATTGAATAAAATTTTGAATCCCAATGATATAATTAAATTATTCAATACTTATGGGGAAGATAAAATACTCATCAATTTAATGATAGTTTATATTGAAAAAATTTTAAAAAAATTTATCATAAACATAATAATTAATTATTCTTATACCATAAAAAATTAACTAACAAAACTTATAAAATGAAAAAATATATTTATTTTATTATAAATATATATAAAATTGAATAGAAAAAATTAAGTTAAAATATTTATATTATAATAGTAATATATATAAATTTAATTTTCTTTTAATATCATGTACTATACTTTATCATTCCCATCCTCTCAGTAAATTTTTTGGCTCTGTTCCTGCAGAAGGGGCAAATTGTAAAGATACGTGACCTTTCCGGATTTCGCTCCCAATGCAGTTCTTCTGGACAACAAAATTTGCGAAACTGAACAGTTTTAAACATTTTTTAAAAGAAAATAGGCGTGGTACGTCAGAGGCACTGTTTGCTATTTTTTAACTGAATTAAGGGATTTTAAAAATTTTCATTTCTTTGTCAATTCCAAAATAAATAAATATAAAATACATGGAATTTATTAAAATAATGATTTCATATTTATTTCTATCCATGTTAATCGAAGAAATCGTTGAGTAGAAAAAGAAAGAAAGGAAGGTACAGATTGATGACACATCATACATAGACCTGTGAAACAGCAGGGGTGTGATATGCTCTTCCATTAGTGCGTTGCAGCAGTGGGCCCCCGGAAGAGCACTAAAAACACGAAGGCTCGAAAAGAAAAGAAGGGTAAATCGCCCACCACATCATCCGAACACACGGCCAAACATACCCTCCGCTGGAAGATTTTATATAAACCCGTATCATTCTGCAACCTCCACGCAGCACCATCATCCTCACCTCACTTCCTCTACTCTTTCTTCCTCCTCTTCATCCTTATCCTTTCTTCTCACCAACACTACTTCTCTTTTCCCATTCCCTTCGCTTCATTTCCCAGAATAAGTACACATTATTTATACAAATATACAAGACAATTCATAATAGCCAGGCGAAAGCCAGTTATTGATTGGCTGAAGCAAAGGCCGATAACGTAGATTACGTGTACCCGTCGGCGGCGACGAACATGGAGGAGTGCGGTCCGCGAGTGGCCATTCCACCGCCTCAACCATTCGTCAAGTCATTCATGTACTCTCTTAAAGAGACTTTTTTTCCGGACGACCCTTTCAGCCAATTCAAAAACCAGCCACCTTCCAGAAAACTTCTTCTCGGCCTCCAGTACTTCTTCCCTGTCCTCGAATGGTTACCTCGCTACACTCTCAGCTTCTTCAAATCAGACATCATTGCCGGCATCACCATCGCCAGCTTGGCTATTCCTCAAGGCATCAGTTACGCCAAACTCGCCAACCTCCCTCCAATTCTTGGGCTGTGTGAGTTCCTGTTCAATCAATATATAAATACTCAAAAAATCACATTATTTTATTTGATGTCCCGATAGAGTCTTTGCTAAGAGTTAACCTTCTGGGTTGTGAAATTTAAAAAAAAAAATGGGTGCAGATTCCAGCTTCATACCGCCATTGATTTATGCGATGATGGGAAGTTCGAGGGATTTGGCGGTGGGAACAGTGGCGGTTGGGTCGCTTTTGCTGGGCTCCATGCTGGCTAGATCGGTCAATCCCAACGTCGACTCCAGGCTCTTCCTTCACCTTGCTTTCACTGCTACATTCTTCGCCGGGGTTTTGCAAGCTTCACTGGGTTTGTTTAGGTAAGTACTAGAGATATCCGCGCATATATATATATATATATATATAATGAATGGTATATGAAAGTATAAGAATCTCACGCGTGTTGTCGCCGTCATGTATAAATAAACATCATATATACTAAGTTAAATATAATAGGTTTCGTGTAGACAATTATATTTGAGCAAGCCGTCATATGAATTCCTTAATCTCTTCTCTAGTCTCAGGAGCCAAATTTAATTTAAAGAAGACACCTCGATCGCCAGATCAGGTTGCTTCACTACACGCTGGAGGAGGATTACTTTTGTCAGTTGAATCATTTGATCCAAGAGATTCTTCCACTCTCTGGCAAAAAAATATTAATATTATTACAGTTATTTCAAAAAATTAATTGTCCACTAAATGAGTGTAGCTAGATGACAAAAGGCATGGACACACACACACGTTAGTCATGTGCATGAAAATTATAAATGTGCTGTTTGATTGATGATATTGATAAGGGAGGGAGAAATGGTTGCAGGTTAGGTTTTATTGTGGATTTTCTGTCACATGCATCAATAGTAGGGTTCATGGGAGGAGCAGCAACAGTGGTTTGCCTGCAACAGCTGAAATCGATTCTGGGACTGGAGCATTTTACCCATGACGCCGATCTTGTCTCTGTGATGCGATCCGTTTTTAGCCAAACACACGAGGTCAATACTTTACCCTCCTTGTCTTCTTTCTCCCTGCTCGCGCCACTCTCTGCCATTTATTCTCCCACTAATATATGCGCGCACATCATTGAACACACCGTCGCATGTGCCTTTAAAATTATTTCCATAAAAAAAATCTCTATTGGCTCTTATCAGACACACATGCACCGTTTTGTGCTTTAGTAACAGTACTAGCCTGTAGTTCATGATTAGCCACTTACCTTTACGACTTGCAATAGAGCACTAGGTTCGTATATAGTTTTGACTTTGGCATGGTCTTGGTCATTATATTGATTTGATTTATTTGCATTGCAGTGGAGATGGGAAAGCGCTGTGTTAGGGTGCTGCTTCATTTTCTTCTTGCTCCTCACCCGGTACTTCGTAAGTGGACCCAACCCTCACACATGCACGTATTATATAAACAAAAATCTGACTTGACTAATTAAATAATAGCGCCGTGTATGCTCGTATATTAACTAAATATAAAATATTCTTGAAGATCTTGCTGCACTTTCCATCTTCAATTAATTATTAATATATTTGGTCGGTGTTCTTTCCCTTTCTTCACCAAACACTGAACTGAACAAAAAAAAAAAAAAACAGATAAAGTTTGTTCACATCAGAAAGTATCTTGACTTTAACTCTTTAACTGTGAGAGATTAATTAGCATCCGTTAATTATTTGATCTCTTCATATGCTTGGTTAGAAGCTTAATCTGTATGGGTGACCTTTCTCCCTTGAAAGTCAGAAAATTTTGTGAGACGTTAATTTGACAATATGATGTATAATCCAGCCTGATCCTGTTTCTGTTGTCAGCCGGACCAAGTTTTGGTGACTTAAGATATTATATATCTATATATATGTATATGCATTATGGTGCATGTTAATTCTTAAATTTTGATGGCTCAAACTTTATTACGTTACGTTATCTCATTTTTTATCTTTAAACAAAATAATTATTATCTTGAATAATTTATTAATAATAAGAAAATTACACACACACACACACTCACACACTCACATTTACGTGCACACATATTATTTTTTTTATCATGCTTCATTTAAAATTAAAAAATATAATATAAAAAAATAATAAAATCTAGTGGACAAAGTCATGCGTGAGATGCATGCGACGGCACACACGTGTTCAGCAAAAAGTTATACGATTCGATTCCATCTACTTAGGAAGTCGAAACAATCAAGCATTCTAGGTGCTTGGAATGGAACAATGCATACTATACATTGTCGTAGATTAATTCTTATTTATTCAAGAATGATATTAATGGTTATAATATGTGCATACTTAATGTCTGAATTTCTTACTGGTTCCACTAAGGCGAAGAATCTTTGACCGAAGGCATAAGTTTAGGATGCAACAAGATAGTTATTTTTTTTTTATTTGTCTCATTCTGCCACGTGGTCAGTAAATGAATGAACGAATAAGTGAATAACGAAGTATACTAACTTGTTGGATTAATGTATACGCAGAGCAAACGACGACCGAAGTTCTTTTGGGTGTCAGCAATGGCGCCGTTGACGTCCGTGATCCTGGGAAGTCTGCTTGTTTATTTTACTCAAGCCGAGAAGCACGGCGTTCAAGTGGTGAGCATTCCCAATCTAAACACGCCTTTCTCTCTCTTCCCCGTGCACACAATCACACACACAGTCAAACACGGCACAGTCGGTACGACTGCCCATAACTTTTTGTCAAGCTGTCCATTGAGGACCCCACTAAGCTCGGTCTCCTCTGACTTACTGGGCCGTTCTTTTTTCAAATGGGCCAGTCATTGCCCTCTTACAATAATGCATCTGAATCCCTGTTGAGCCTTCCAGAGTGAACATCTTCGTTCGAGCCCACCATCACCAATAATTCACCATTCACCAGCACCAGTGTTTCACGTCATATGCTCCTCCAACACTCACACATGTTAGCATGCTTTTGTCTTTGCGAATAATGTTTTTTATGAAAGTCTTTTAGAATAATTTTGTTGACCTATTTTCTTGTCTCCATTCTGAAAGTCGAAGCTGGAACTCTTTTTTTTTTTTTTTGAGAGTGATTGAATTTATTTTCTTGATTAATGTGTGTGTTTTTTGAATTTTTCAGATCGGAGAGCTGAAGAAGGGATTAAATCCCCCTTCCTTCAAAGATCTGGTATTTGTGTCGCCTTATATGACCACAGCTGTTAGAGCTGGTTTGTCACGGGCATCATAGCCCTCGCCGTAAGTGTTCATTAATGTTGATCGGCTCCATAAGGAACGAGCTAGGCGATCTAATATAAATGATTGTGCAGGAAGGAATAGCAGTTGGAAGAAGCTTTGCAATGTTCAAGAACTACCATATCGATGGCAACAAAGAGATGATAGCTATTGGGACCATGAACATAGTTGGTTCTTTTACCTCCTGCTACCTCACAACAGGTAATTTTGTTGTTTAATTTCTTCTAGACTTTTATATTTAGTTCTATCTTTGCTTCATCAACTGTTAACAAATTTGGCTTGAAATTTGAACGTGCGTCAGGGCCATTTTCGCGGACGGCTGTGAACTACAATGCGGGATGCAAGACTGCAGTATCAAACATTGTGATGGCAATAGCAGTGATGATGACATTGTTATTCTTGACGCCCTTGTTCTATTACACTCCACTGGTGGTGCTCTCGGCCATCATTGTGTCAGCAATGCTGGGCCTTATAGATTACGAAGCAGCCATGCATCTTTGGAAGATTGACAAGTTTGACTTCCTAGTATGCATCAGTGCTTACGTTGGTGTCGTCTTTGGCAGTGTCGAAATTGGCCTTGTCATAGCCGTAAGTGTCGCCCTTCATCACTATGCTCCTTCCCGCGCTCTAGAAGACTTGCGGCGTTTAATTATATTCTAGTAATGTGTACTTCTCTGTGCATACACGTGCAGGTATTCATATCTGTGCTTAGGGTTCTCTTGTTTGTTGCAAGGCCAAGGACGTTTGTTTTAGGCAACATTCCAAATTCTGTCGTGTACAGAAATGTTGAACAGTATCCAAATGCCAACCATGTTCCTGGAATACTAATTCTAGAGATTGATTCCCCGATCTACTTTGCCAATGCAAGTTATTTGAGAGAGAGGTAACGATCTCTTCACTCCAACTGCTACTTTTACATAACGCAATCATGGCATTTCATCGAAATGGACACCTGAACAGAGAGAGTATATGTTGTAGGATCACGAGGTGGATTGATGAAGAGGAAGGCAGGGTTAAAGCCACAGGGGAAGCCAGTTTGCAGAGTGTGATACTAGATATGACTAGTAAGTGATGGACCTGAGAATTCAGTAAACATGTAGAATTGAATGAACAGGTTTCCCAATCTAACTTGATGAATAATCTGCAATGGCAGCCATTGGGAACATTGATACGAGTGGAATAAGCATGCTTGAAGAGGTGAAGAAGATTGCAGATAGAAGAGGGCTGCAGGTAAGCCTTTTTCTCTTTTGTGCTATCTGGAAACTGTGCTGCAGCAGTGCAGCTACATACTTACACTTTCCGAATGCTCCATCAATTATTTTGTTCAATCCTTGTTTACCATTTGCTCAGCTTGTTCTGGTCAATCCTGGAAGTGAAGTGATGAAGAAGCTCAATAAAGCCATGTTCATTGAGACTATAGGTCAGAAATGGGTCTTCCTGACAGTTGAAGAGGCTGTTAGAGCATGCAACTACATGCTTATGCTTGCGTGCAAAACCTCATCCCAAGAAAGATGAATCCGAGGCTTGGAACAATGTCTAGGCTACGTACAAATATTGAAGCACTTTAGAGAGCTCCGTTTCGTCTAGTTATTGAATACGAGCAAGTAAAATCATGTCCTCATAGGATTTAGGGGCATAGGAAGATGAAGAGAATGGATCTCTTTATATCTGATCTGAAGTTTGCAGTTTTAGTTGGAAGATGGTTTTGATCATAAGCTGCTAAATCTTATGCATCATTGTAGTTTATTCAAAAGGAAAGTAATTGGTTTCTGCAACGAAATCCCAGTGCTTTCTTTCTATTTTGCCCCTCCTGGTATCGGCACACACTGTCAACATAAATTTCCGTCTCTGGCGTAAAGATACTTTTATTAATTATAACTGCTAAATTTTATCAATATTTAAAATTATTAAAATATATATTTTTTAGAAATTTAAAACAATTCTCTCAATTAACCACTGCACTCTTTACTTATGTTATCCTTTTAAAAATTTAAAATTTAATACTCTTTGAGTATTATATCACAAAATCTTTAATAATCATTTGATTAAATCAAAATGCCGTTCTTTATTATATGAGACACTTATATCCAAATTCCCTTAACGCAAAATAGTATGTGAAGAGTGAACAGGAGACCGATAAGAAAAATGCAAGTTTGCGTTCTTCCAAACCATCAAATTAAAACAAACAGCCACATGTCAATTCCCCATTAAGCGATTATAGGCAGATCTGAGTTTCTTCCATTCCACTTTTCTATTACGTTCCTTTACTCAGAAGGGGAGAAAGGTAACATATTTTTAATTGGATCGAAATCATAAATGTTATCAATAAAACTTGGTTTTAAATATTTATAAAATAAAAATTAAATATATGATACTTTACACAGAAAAATAAATATGGTGCGGCTTTTTTGATATAACAACTGATCATTTTTTAATGCCATATTAGAATTGAACAATACAGATTGAATTAAGCTGGGCCACATAAGTGTAGAACTCCTACGATGACAAATTTTTTGATTTACAAGATTTAAACCCAATCTTTTTTTAAGAACAACCACCAAACCACCGGATGAACCAAATGTTGTAAGTGTAGATGTAGTTTCCCTTTTTATATTGAATGAAGAGAATATACATGGGTTGAAAGAATAATTTGACCAAATATCATAAAAATAAGAGTGAAATACAACAATCTCCCTATGTTTTGTTAAAATTACAAAGATATCCCCTCTATTTCAAAACCTACATTTAATCAAATCTTAAAAACCCAATCTTTTTTAAGAACAACCACCAAACCACCGGATGAACCAAATGTTGTAAGTGTAGATGTAGTTCCTTTTTATATTGAATGAAGAGAATATACATGGGTGCAAAGAAATACCAAATATCATAAAAATAAGAGTGAAATACAACAATCTCCCTTATGTTTTGTTAAAATTACAAAGACATCCCCTCTATTTTCAAAACCTACATTTAATCAAATCTTAAATACGTTATGAATATTCTGTTAAACACTCTAAAAACTTCATTTTTATTTGTACTCATATTAAAATTTTAAAATTATTAATTTTCCATTATGATCTAATTATCTATTCTCTTTGAATGTTAAAAAACTTTAAATAATTATGTAGATATTCAAATAAATAATTTAAATTTTTGTGTTGAAATTAATGAAATTTTTAAAAAATAAAAATAAATTATATCGAGTAACTTATTGTATTAAATTATTATTTGATAATTTTTTTTAAATGTGTGATTGAATATTATTTTAGCTAATTTATGTATTTAGTTTTTTGGAAAATTATTAAATGAATACATTTAATAACTAAAAAATTAAAAAATAAATAAAAAGGAATAAAATATATGAATTAATTTTTTTCATAATTTTAATGTTTTTCAAATGATATTTATATTTAAAGAGAAATATATTAGTCTAGCATATATGACTTAATAATTTGAGGGATGAAAGTAAAATCTTAAAAATATAGAAAATATTTGTATTTCTTATAACTTTTTATATTATATGATGTTTATATAGGTTTTAAAAATTAAAAAAATATATTTGTAATTAACCTAAATATGAGGGAGATTGAAATGTTTGTTGTGAAAATAATTTGACAAAATAAAAATTATAAAACCCCCAAAGAATAAGAATAATAAAAGCCCATGATGTATTTCAGAGGGCAAATCGACGAGCGTAATAAGTCTGCTCTGAGAGAGACAGGCCCATTCCAAAAGGATAATATAATTTAAAAACATCTCCCGGATTATCGCTGACTAGGCCTTGCCTGTTTGCTGACTAAGCAAGACGGCACGCTGTCCAACCAAGGCTGGCCACTCCAATGCGGCAATGCATTGCCACTTTACCGCACTCTTTGTTTCCTTGATAATACAAAACTACCCCTAAGGACGATACATCAAATGACTAAAACACCTTCCTCTCGTACTTATCTTCCTTTTCTGTCCGATCTTCATCTTCTCAAGCTCAAGTGCTCAAATCTCGGAGTCCGCTTCCAATCCATCACTTCCATGGCTTCTCTCATCATTATCCGTAGAAAGCTTGCTACTAGACCCTTCAATGTCACCTACACTCGAACGTTCTCCCAGCTGTCCTCATCAGGGGAGAAAGCCGCTCGACAGCGGATTGAGAAAATTCTGATAGCCAACAGGGGTGAAATAGCATGCAGGATCATAAGGACTGCGAAGAGGCTTGGTATTCGGACTGTTGCTATTTACAGTGATGCTGATAAGGACTCGCTCCACGTCCAATCGGCTGATGAAGCCATACGGATTGGACCCCCTCCGGCTCGGTTCAGTTACTTGAATGGGCCCTCCATTGTTGATGCTGCCATACGTACTGGTGCGCAGGTGAGCCCTGGAACCGTTTCTTTGTTCATTAGAGTCTATCATTGGAGAAATGAAACAATGTAACAGGGTCATTGGTTAGCGGGGCTTTCACTCTATTATTTAATTAAAGTTTCACTTGCTTATTTGTTTTGCTCAGTTTTCACTTGCTTATTATTCTTGCTGTCACTGGCGTAAACAATAGACAATCACCTGTTATTTGCATTAGTAAGCCAAGGACTGTGTCACCACTTCGATGATGGTCAATTTGGCAATTCCGTTGACCTGCTATTTTCCCAACCCTGTGGCACGATCTTAGCCGATTGATGTGATATAGGATATCTAAGCACCATATATTCTGTATTTACGGTCATGATGATTTTGAGGTGACATAATATCTCAACTTGTTTAGTGTTGATATATTGTATACTTAAGATTGCTCCCCATATAGAGACAGGCTTTGTATTTATCTATGACTCTTAATGTGTGCTTTGTTGGTGTGACTATAATCCCAAACTCCACGTTTCTAGTACTCATAGATAATGATTACATAGAACTTTGGGCATCGTATTCAGAACGAACACGTTCTTTTGGTAATTAGGCTGTCCACCCTGGATATGGTTTCCTATCCGAAAGTGCTGATTTTGCCCAGCTATGTGAAGATAGGGGTCTTACCTTCATTGGCCCTCCAGCATCTGCCATCCGGGATATGGGTGACAAAAGGTATGAGCATGCCAGACTGCTTGCTGTCTTCCTTTCATTCCTTCCCCTATTCTAATATCAACACCCCCTATTTTAAGTTCGGTTTTTAACTTTCAAATGCATAAGGAACGCCTCACTAAAGGCTAGAGGTGGGAACTTGGAAGTTACTAATATAGTTTTATGCTGTAATTTATTGAATTGTGCATGCCCATTTATGATAAGCATTAGGCATAGGATACCCAAGTTTGTGAAGGATCATTATTGGCATATTTCATTTATTGTTTAAATAATCCTCTTCTATGTAAATATCAACTTGCTAACAAATATGAAATTTGATGTTTCCAACCAGCTAAGAATTATCTACTGTGTGAGAGAGATCTGGGTGGGTAAAGAGAGGGGGGTGGGAATTATCTTGGGAATATCATGTAACTTTCCTTTTTCTCTTTTATCTAGCCAACCTTTCAAGTATGCCTCTACTCGATCATGAATACTTGGAGTCAGCGTGACAAGTTTGGATCATTTTCCCACTCAATGATTCTTATGCTTACGTTTTGATTTGTGCGAGTCTGAGATAGAGTGTAAAATGCCTTTTCAACTTATCAGTGTGTCTATGCATCTATCAGTGCATCAAAGAGGATAATGGGGGCAGCAGGGGTGCCACTTGTTCCTGGATATCATGGAAATGAACAAGATATTGATAAAATGAAGTTGGAAGCTGAAAAAATTGGATATCCAATCTTAATAAAGCCAACCCATGGAGGTGGAGGAAAGGTGCATGTTTCCTGATAATTATTCAGTTTATTGTGCTTCATGATCCTTAATTCATTTGTGATAATATATGGATGGATGTACTCACGGGGTTTCCAAAATGTGTTAAAATGTCTTGCCTAAATCTTTGAGGTCAATTTGAGGCAGGTTTTCATAAGTTCTATGATTGCCTATGAATCTTAACTATTCTGACTTATAAACTCATTCTCATCTTAAAAGATAACATACAACAACCTTAATACGATTTGTAATTACTCTGAGGTTCCTAAAATATTAAAAGGTTGAAAATTTTATTTTAAGAATCACATTTTTTTAATGGTGAAACAGGTATAAAAGACATACAAGACATTTTTTGATCATTGACTCAATCATTGATTACAAATTCATTCATATGAAATTCTGACAAAATATTTCAGGGCATGAGGATTGTGCACACTCCAAATGAGTTTGTTGAGTCCTTCTTAGCTGCACAGCGTGAAGCAGCAGCTTCCTTTGGGATAAGCACAATACTGCTGGAGAAGTATATTACACGGCCAAGGCACATAGAAGTCCAGGTATTACTTGTGAGAACTTCTTTTCCTTCTTGTATTGGTGCTTCTTCTTACAAAACAAAAAGTGATTCATAGTGAATTTCTTGATTTTGAGATTTGGCTTTCATTTCTCTAAAAATTTACTGGAACCATGGGACTTTTAATGTTGGTGAATCATGAAGAGAAATAGTGCTTCGCGGTCGTTATTGAATCTTTTACTAGCTTCGTTGACCTGAGTTTCTAGCAAATTCTTCTATACTTGATATCATAGATTTTTGGGGACAAGCATGGGAATATTCTGCATTTATATGAGAGAGATTGCAGCGTGCAGAGAAGACACCAGAAAATAATTGAAGAAGCCCCAGCCGTAAGATTTACTTGCTGTGTCCTCAATATTGATTGTTTCATTTTAAAACTTTGCTGTAGTTTGAACCTGTAATAATGAATTCAATCATGCAGCCAGATGTTTCTACAGATTTTCGTGTACACTTGGGTCAAGCTGCTGTCTCTGCAGCAAAGGTGAAGTTCTCTGCCTTCAATATATAAATTTTCTCAGCGACTTACCTTTTGCTAAGGTTTTTATCCTTCAAAATTTCGTGCATATGAATGACCAGCTTTCTTTGCAGGCTATTTCCTTACATTCTCTGCTTTATTGATTTCGATTTATTTGTGCTAAATAGTTAGACTTGGCTTTTTATAATAAATAAAACATTTAGCTATGCCCGACAAACCTAATTTCAATTTTACTAATGTGTAATGTCAAGTTTCTTTCTGATGTCTGAAGGCAGTTAATTATTACAATGCTGGGACAGTGGAGTTTATAGTTGATACAATCTCTGGCCAGTTTTACTTTATGGAGATGAATACCCGTCTTCAGGTGCTTTAAGTGGTTTTTAAGAGTCACTATTTTCTGAAATTTCTATGGTTTACAGATTTGTTACATGATTCATGTTAATTCAGGTTGAGCATCCAGTCACAGAGATGATTGTTGGTCAAGATCTTGTAGAATGGCAAATCCATGTTGCTAATGGTGAAGTTCTTCAGTTGAGTCAGTCACAAGTTCCGTTCTTAGGTAGTTTTGCTTCCCTCTCTCAAACAAATCCCTTGGCTACGACAGTGCCCGCCCCCCGGGGGGGCCTAAATGGTCTAAGCATTGATGACGAAATGCCACAGGGTCTGCATTTATGATATGATTAAAGGCTGTCAAAATTTAAGCAATCTACATTGCTTGACTGACTTTATAAAGGAAAGATTAACTGGTTTTATGGGGAAATTTGTATACAAATTATAAGGGGACTTCAAAGTTTCAGCATTATATTATCTCTTGTTATGCTGGCAGGTCATGCTTTTGAAGCTCGAATATATGCAGAAAATGTTCCAAAGGGGTTTCTTCCAGCAACTGGAGTTCTTCATCATTATCATCATAATCCGGTCTCCTTAACAGGTCATTTATAGTCATATACTATGGTAGTCAAGTAACTAATACATGGTGAATCATGTATCCCTCATTTTCTCCAGTTGAAGAACATGAAACCTGAATATGTGTTAATGGGTGTTTTTGATGTCATACATCGCTCATTTACTTATGGCATATATGCTATTTTGGCAGTTCGAGTGGAGACTGGAGTTAAGGAAGGTGACACTGTCAGCATGCACTATGATCCCATGATTGCTAAGCTTGTGGTCTGGGGCAAAAATCGTGCTGCAGCTTTGGTCAAACTGAAGGATTGTTTGTCAAAATTTCAGGTATACCTAGATCTTAATAAATGCTTTCGCAACGGTGCACTGTGAAGTATAGTGGTTGCAAGTTTAGCAGTAAAGTACAACTTCTGGAGTAAGACCCTTTACCCACTTAAGTAAGACTATGGGGTCAAAGGATTAATTCGGTAGGATGCTTGAGCGTGAAGACATGGTTTCTCAACCCTTTCCTTGATGAAGGAAGAAAATAAAACCGGATACAATATGTTACTATCAAACCAGTTCTCCTTCGGGCAAAGCTTATGTAATTTTGGATTGATCATTATTTCTCTTCGTACTCCATATTTCCAAAATCGCACCAATTTCAATTGCTAAATTTCTTTCTATAGGTTGCAGGGCTACCAACCAATATCAATTTTCTTCAAAAGCTTGCGAACCACCATGCTTTTGAAAACGGCAAGGTGGAGACTCATTTTATTGATAACTACAAAGATGATCTCTTTGAGGATCAGAAGAACTCTGTTTTAGCTAAAGAAGCATATGAAGCTGCCAGGCTTAGTGCATCCCTGGCGGCTGCATGTCTCATTGCAAAAGAACATTTCATGTTGACAAGAAATCCCCCTGGTAAACTGCCCCATTCTTTTTGCAATGTGTCTGAGTTATTTCGAGAAATCTCATTCTTATTCACATCTGCTAGTATGTTCAGGGAGTGGCAGCTTACATCCTATATGGTATGCTTATCCGCCTTTCAGAGTACATCATCAAGTCAAGCGTAGTATGGAACTTGAATGGGATTATGATTATGATAGTAGTAACTCCAAGCTTTTGAAGCTTACTGTCACTTGTCAGCCTGATGGCAGATACCTGATTGAGGTATCATAAGTATAGCGGAGCAGTAATTTATCAATCCTATTGTCATGTGGGACAAGTTCTCTTGCTTTAAAGTTTAGACTCAAGATGCTATCATATTATTTCAGACGGAAGAACAAGGATCTCCTGCTTTAGAATTCAAAGCAACATATTTAAGAGACCATTATTTTAGAGTTGAAGCTGATGGTGTGAACAAAGAAGTTAATCTAGCTGTCTACTTAAAGGTAATTTTGTTCCTCTACATGCATCATTTGTCGAGTTTATATTGGTTAAATTAGTGAAAATACCCTTGGTGCTCTATACATGTTAATTATTAATAAAAATAAAAATTCTGGTGCCAGTTTACACAGCTTTTTTTTTTTTTTGTTTTTTTTTTTGGTAGAAGTTTACACAGCCTTTTTTAATCTTGGCAGGATCACATTAGGCATATTCATGTGTGGCAAGGGTCTTGTCATCATCATTTCAGAGAAAAAATAGGGCTTGAGTTGTCTGAGGATGATGAATCCCAACATAAGCCCAAATTTGAAGCAGCAGCCCACCCTCGGGGTACTGTTATGGCCCCCATGGCTGGCTTGGTGGTTAAAGTTATGGTGAAGAACAAGACAAAAGTAGAAGAGGGGCAGCCTGTATTAGTTTTAGAAGCAATGAAGATGGAGGTTTGTGCTTGTACAATTGCTCGTAAAACTTTGGAAAACAACTCTCTTCTTTGTTTTGCTATCCATGAAGTTTTAACTTACTGTTTTTTACTTTCATTAGCATGTTGTAAAGGCACCATCATCTGGCTACGTTAATGGGCTTCAAGTTACGGCTGGTGAGCAGGTTTCTGATGGTAGTGTTCTTTTCAATGTAAAGGTTAGTTAATTGCCTTTGCTCTTCTTTACTCTGGCTGCGGACTAAATGATTGGCACAGAACATAGTTGAGTGAGGATGAATCAATAAACATTCTGGACAAGCGATTTTTCTGTTATTTATGTTCATTTTATTTTTCAGGTACAAAATACATGTTCCTTTAGCAACTAATATGTGATAAATTACCAGTATATATATATATATAAAATAAAATCTCATATAAGTCGCACTTTCTTCCTTTAATTTTCTATTTACAAGCTCTATACAAAATACATTGAGTTCTATGAATATTTTTATTCGATGCTAGAATTCTCCCAAAAGTTCTTATTTTTGTCATCACCACCAAGTGAAGGGCCGCTGGATATGCTACTCATGTTCGCCTGAAAATTGTGCAGGCAAATCTCACCTGTTTGTGTTATTAGAGCCTCAGTAATTGTAAAATTTATTTGTTTGTTGCAATATGTGGCATTGGGTTTGCAGAAATCATTGTTAATATTTACATCCCATTTTCTTGTATAGTTACAATCATCTTGTTTTTGTGCCTGGGCAGGAGTCAGGATGAATAAATCGATACATAGAACACTGCTTCCAACCAAGCTCTTGTCAAGGGAGACCTCTTTCTGGATGATTAAGATTTAAGAGCGAAGTAATCACCTGGCTTTCACAACGCCTGTTACATGCCGATGAATTGATTCTGAACAAAATAGGAAAGTCCTTATCCACCACGTTGAATGCTTGTTCATCAATCCACGAAACACAAATGGGTATTGATTGCTCTCATAAGTATACGAGATCATAGTAATAAATTACTCAAAGTATTTCAGGTGTCAAACTCACAGAGAAGTTACACTTTTATTAATTTAAATAATTAATAATTCAAGAAAAATAGATAAAATGGATATATTTGATAAACATAAAAAGAATAAAATTAAATAAAGAAAATAATGATAATAAAAACACAATCACTTGAAGTGTTGAGATTTAGGATTCACCCTATAGGTTGTTAGTTTCTATCCTTTGGATTGACTCAGATCAATTATAGTGACAACTATTATTAAAGTGTCCTGATATTCTCCCAAATTATTAGTCCCTTTTTAATTAGTGATGAATTCGTTCTTACGATACCCAAGCAACTAATTAAACCATGAAATTATAGTTTAAGTCACCATAAATTTTTAGAATTATTTCTAGTCTAGTTATTTATGTTTATTTTTTTAGATCTAGGTTTTCTCTTCATTTCCCAATCTATTAAGATTACCCATAAACTTGATTATGACAAGTCATTAAATCAATATAAAGAACAAGAGAAATAAATATAATTAAAAAAAGCAAAAATATTCATAAATATAAATGTAAAGAGTCAAAATAAAGAAAATAGAAAACTAGCTTCTCAATTGGGCTACATCCTTATCCCAATTGAATAATTTAAAAACACATAATAAAATTAAATAACATTGTTTTAAAATTTTCAATGATGAAAAAAGATCAGAAAGAAAATTAAGGAGTAAAAAAGAAAAAATTGTAATTTGTGAAACTCTTCAATGATTTTGCTTTCAGCTTTTAGAATGTTTCTACAAGTTTCAAATATCTCAGAGAGAATTCTTGAGATATTCAAATAAGTGATTGGATACTTTCCTTCTTGATGGAGGGAGTATTTATAGTTAAAGTGGAGGTTTTTTTTTCCTTATTGATATGGGACTCTAATATATATATATATATATATATTTCTCTTTTCCTTCTTTCCTTTTATTTGATTTATTTTTTTCTTTGCAAAATATAAAGATAAAAAAATATAAGTGAATTTTGTATTAAATTTTTTTTATCTTATAATTGATGAGAAAAATATATATAAATATCAATTAAATAGATATGAAATTTTAATAAATATAATCAAATTTAAACTAAAATATATACCTATTTAATTATAAAATATGTACTTATTAAATTTTTCCACACTTGTTTGTCCTTAAACAAATACTTCTGCGTTTTGCTTTATTTCTTGAATAAGTATATCAAATATAGAAACTTTAATCAAAGTACTAGTAAAATTTAACTATATAACTAACCTACAAAGCTTCAATGTGAGAGAGAAAGTTTATAATTATACTAGTACCACCACAAGAGTGAATTAAATTTTAATTGAGCACTTATTTGTAAAATAAATTTGTCTATACCCTTAAACCTTACCTATTTCTTTTTTTGAGTTAGTGCAATGGGGTCACCATCTTTAACTATTCATGAATTGCCTTTCTTCTTAAATACTCTTTAGGTCCTTTTGACGCGAACCCTCATATTAGTGATACAAAGGCCCGGTTACTCAAACTTCAAAAACTTTATTGTCACACTCTTGATACTTACTAAGCTGTTTGATGCGAAGGCCAACATTGGTGATGAAGGTCCCTGGTTACTAGGCCTAGTTGGCATCAGCGGAGTGGGTACTCAGTAATTTTTTTCTCTCTTTTGTTTTTTGTAGGATCATTTCCCTTTTTAACTACTTTACAAGGTGTTAGCTTTTTAGGCATAGACATAAATAATTAGGACAAATATTTTATGCATTAAGTATATTTTTGATAAACTTTTATGAGGTATTAGTAGTTTTAAATTCTTTCTTAAACACATAATTGCCCTCAGTAATTATATAGCTAAATAAAATAGTACAAAAGAGCAAAAAGTTTTTAAAAAATTCAAACATTTTCAAAATTTTCAAAATTAAGGCCAATTACAGCGTGTAAATTGTTAAGAACATTATAACAGCATAAGCAATAGAAAATTATCATGATATTCCCTCCCTCACACTTAAATTTCATATTGTTATCAATGTTTGCAGGAAAGGAAAAAGATAAAGAAACTAAAATTTCCCTGATTTAATTTATTTTGATATGACTTTGATAACCTTTAAGAAGCTTCCTTTTAAGCATTGTAATCTTGTAATTCATCTTAGAAGGGGTCTTAGTGATCAAATAAAATTTTATGGGGATAATAGACGATAAAAGGAAATTAAAACAAATTAAAACAACAAAGAAAAGGAAATAAAAAAAATTGGATTGCCTCCTAACAAGCGCTACATTTAATGTCTATAGCTTGATACTGTTGTAAAAATCTAGAGATGCCTTATGAGTATGGTAGAAATCCTTATCCTCCTAAATTAGAAGACACCTTCTTATCCCAACTAATATTTATCTTCCCTTTGGAGAATGTTCTTGTTAATGAGCAAGGAACTTACTAATTTGATTTCAATGTATAAGTGTTAGAGCTTTTGTGAGGACTAATGAGTAAATTTTTAGGTTCCCTTTGTAGCTCCCTCCTTTCTCCATTACTAATTTCCTCCTCTTTATTTTTTAAAGTATGTAAGGGAGGGTCTTTTGAGTATTTTTCCTCTTCCTGTGTCATCTGTATGCTGCATAAAGATTTTTCAAGAATAGGGAGGTTAGTAGCTTTAGTAAATTTAAATATCTCTTTTTCTTCACCTACTTTAAATATTAATTCTCCCTTAGGCACATTAATTAAGGCACCTGTAGTGGCTAAAATTGATCTTTCTAATATAAGTAAGACATTTTAATTATTTTCAATGTTTAAAATAATAAAATCTGCAAGAATATAAAGTTCACCGACTTTTATTATGACATCCTCAACTACACCATATGGACATCTGAGTGATCTATCTACGAGTTGAAGGGTCACATTGATCGGCTTGATATCTATTATACTAAGTTTCTTGTATGGAGAATAAGGCATTAAGTTAACACTAGTATCTAAATCACATAAACAATTTTCAATAATATTACAACCAATATCACGAGGAATAGTGAAACTCCCTGGATTTGTTAATTTGGGTGGTAGCTTTTTTTGTAGAATCGCACTACACTTCTCTGTAAGTGTAACTGTGGCATATTCTTCTAACTTTTTCTTGTTTGAAACCAGCTCCTTGATGTATTTGGCATAAGCAGGCATCTTTGCCAATGCCTCTATGAAGGGAATATTAATTTGAATTTTCTTGACATCTCAAGGAATTTTTGAAAGCCTAAATTTAGATCTTTTTTTGGAAGGTGCTTGGGGTATGGAATGGGAGGCAAATAAGGTTTGGCTTCAGAGGGAGAATGCCCACTTTTAGCTCCACTATCGACCTCTTGGGGTTCCTTACCATTCTGTATGGTGACTGTCATAACTTGCTCTTGTGGATTGACTTCGATATTGCTTGGAAGTTTATTTTGGCTCTTTCTAATAACTAAGCTAGCCAAATTGCTTATTTGATCTCCATATTCCCCAAAGAATTACCTATTCGAGATTCTATATTCTTCATAAAAGCTTGAGTTGAAGTAACTGTTTGTTTAAGTTGGTCAATCTCTTGATTCATACTCTTCATACTATTCACTTAGTGATTTGCCATTTGAGCCAAAGCTTCTTCCAAGTTCATTGCACGATCGTCAATTGTGTTTCTTTGTTATTGAAAGCCTGATGGTGCTTATGTCTTTTGAGTGCTATAATTTTTTCAAGAGAAATTTGGATGATTTTTTCACCCTGGATTATATGTGTTAGAGTAGGGATCATTTAGAGGATTAATTTGATCAGTACCAGTTCCTATATAGTTATCCTTCTCCACATAATCACCATCACAACCTGAATGAAGAAAATTACTAGTAGAAAAAAGGGAATTAATAGAACTAAAATTTTTCAATAATAAATTTAAACTCTTTGTTAAATCTCGTAGTTCATGTGAGAGATCTGATATAGAAATTTCATTAACCATCGCCCTCCTTCCTCGAATCACTTTCTGCCTTGAATTTGCTGCTAGCATTTTATAAATCTCTTCCCTTTCTTCAGCCGTCATGTTACTTGGATCACCTCAAGCTGCATTATTAACTTTTGATTGGCATTCAGCATTCAGCCCATTATAAAAAAAAATCCATCAAGAGTATGTGTGGAAATTGGTGATGGGAACATTGGCTTATGAGGAGATTGTAATGCTCCCAGGCCTTATGGAACAATTCACTATTCTGCTGTGTGAAGAAGTGAATCTTATCCCTTAATTTTGAAGTCTTCTGAGGAGAATAATATTTCAATATAAATTGCTCATACATCTCTGTCTAAGAGCTTATGGAAGCTTTTGGTAATCGTAAAAGCCATTGACGAGCTTCTCCTTTTAAACGATATGGAAAGCAACATAGCTTTAAATTATCATCTGATAGATTATTTAGCAGTAGTATATCAATTATCGTATACAATTCTCGTATAAAATCCAAGGTATCTTCAGTTCGGTGCCCGTTGAAATTAGGTAGCGCATTTAAGTGAATATTCTTAAATTCATAATTACGTCCTCTCGTACTCAATTGGATGCATGACAGATTAGATGTGATAAATGGGCATTGAATATCTTTAAATGTAATGGATGGCTCTAAAATAGTTTCATCACCCATATTTCTTCTTTGAGATCTATCTTTTCTGCAAAATCGTTCAATTTCTAGATTAATAGGAATCAAATTTACATCACCAGAACTTCTCTGCTGCATAAAAAAATAAATAAATAAAAATTTAAAATTAAAATGAACTAAAAATTAAATAGTTAGTAAATTTGTGACTTCATTAGCAATGGCATCAAAAACTTGTCACTCTCACAAGTGTACGAGATCACAATAATAAATTACCTAGAGTATTTCAAGTGTCAATCTCACAGGAAAGTTACACTTTTACTAATTTAAATAATTAATAGTTCAAAAAAAATAGATAAAATGGATAAATTTGATAAAAGTATAAAGAATAAAATTAAAAAAAAGAAAATAATGATGATGAAATTACAATCACTTGAAGTGTTAGGATTTAGGATTCACCCTATAAGTTACTAGTTTCTACCTTTTAGGTTGACTCGAATCAATTATAGTGACAACTATTTCTAAAATGTCTTAAAATTCTCTTGAATTATTAGTCCCTTTTTAATTAGTGATAAATTCATTCTCACGATACCCAAGCAACTAATTAAATTGTGAAACTATATTTTAAGTCATCATAAATTTTTAGAACTATTCGTAGCCTAATTATTTTTGTTTATTTCTTTAGATCTAGGTTATTTCTTCACCTCCTAGTCTATCAAAATTACTTATAGACTTGATTAAATGGTAGCCAGTTATTAAATCAATATGAAGAACAAGAGAAATAAATATAATTGAAAAAAGCAAAAATATTCATAAATATAAATGCAAAGAGTCAAAACAAAGAAAATAGAAAACTAGCTCCTCAATTGGGCTACATTTTTATCCCAACTGAATAATTTAGAAACACATAATAAAATTAAATAACACTGTTTTAAAATTCTCAATTATAAAAAATGATCACAGAAAAAATTAAGGAGTAAAAAATAATTATAATTTGTAAAACTTCTCAATGATCTCACTTTCAGCCTTCATAATGCTTCTACGAGCTTCAAATATCTCAGAGAGAATTTTTGAGGTACTCAGATAAGTGATTAGATGCCTTTCCTCTTGATGGAGGGAGTATTTATAGTTAAAGTAGAGGCTCTTTTTTTTTTTCCTTTATCGATATGGGACTTTAATATATATATATATATATATATATTTCTTTTTTTCTTTTTTCCTTTTATTTGGTTTATTCTTTTTCTCTGTAAAATATAAAGATAAAAATATATGAGTGAATTTTATATTAAAATTATTTTTTATCTTATAATTAAGTGATAAGGAAAAATATATAAATATCAATTAAATAACTATAAAATCTTAATAAATATAATTAAATTTAAATTTAAATCTATACTTATTTAATTATAAAATACACACTTATCAGGTATATGTATATACTTCATTACAGGGAGCACCTCAAATCGTTAGTAAAAGCGAAAAATAACTTGAACGACAGTAGACTTCGTCGGCTCCTACTAAAACTGTTTTTATTTTTAAGTTGGAGTAATATTTATTTCAAGCACCCGTTATGTTAGTGATTAATGATAAATGATTATATTTATTGATATAATATATAATATCATATCACAGAAAAATAAAAGAAAAAAGTTCATGGTAACTTATAATTATAAGACCACGCGTTAGCATATACATAATTTAAATATTTTGAGATGTAAAAGATTATACTCCCTTGGTTTAAAAATATATGATATTTTTTGAGGAATTAGATGTTAAAAAATATAAGTCATTTTTAATCTTTCGAGGTGTAATCATTGTCTTTTTTTTAAAAGTGTTTTTATTGATAATAAATTTATATTTATTATGGATGTTTAATAGGGATAAATATGAAAAGATAGTGTTAGTAGAAAGTAGTTAACTACTTTATTGAAAGTGAGATTCAATTAAAAATGTCTAACATTTTTGAACGAAAGAAATATATATGAATAGTTTATCCTGGCAAAGAAAAAAAAAATGTATCGTATCCTTGTAATTTTCTTCATATAATATTTCATGTTATATACTTTTAGCTTCGCTCATGGTTAATAATTATATTTATTGATACAATATCTAATATCCTGATTTAAAACATTTATAAGGATAGTTTATCATAACAGAAAAAGAAAAATACCTTATTGCAGCCTTATAATTATGTGACTAAATGATAGCACAAAGATAATTTTAATGTGGGAAAATCGGAGAGTGACAGTTAAATCTTCAAGGGGAATTAAAAAATGTTAGGTCACAAATAATTTTTTTTAAAAAAATAAAATGTTAATATCATTTTTAACTATTGTAAATTTAAGAATTTCAATTATAAATAAAATATTTAAAATTTTAAATGAAGCAATTAGTTTGTTATTGAAATTTTAGTTTATAATTGTCTAAATCACTCATTTTTTTAAAGAATATTATTAAAAATCTAACTGTTATCAATTTTTTATGACTTTATTATCATTCCCCTTTTAATATTTTTGAGGTATAAAATATTACATATAATATAAAGATAGTTTAACATGGCAGAAAAGAAAAAAAAATCATATCCTTATAATTTTAACAATATAATATTTAATGTTATAAACTTGTAATTGTATGAATTTAAATTTAGTGAGTGGTTCAAGTCTATTTACTTAATGAGTATTTTAATTAGAGTTATTAAATTTTATCAATATTTAAAAATTATCAAGATATATTTTATTTTTAAAATTTAAAATGGTTTCCAAAATTAAAGCATTTCTCATATATGTTGTCGTCTTTAAAAATTTTAAATTTAATGCTTCCTAAATATTTTAGGACAATATTTTTTAATTATTTAATTCAATTGAATAATTATTATTATATTACGTGAGATATTCATTTAAATTAATAGATTTAAGTCATTCATTAAGCCAAGTCCACATCATAAGCAATGATTATATTTGTTGATAAGTTTTCCAGTATTGATGAAAAAGATTAATTATAAGGATAGTTTATCATAACAGAAAAAGGGAAAAAAAAATTATCGCAATCTTATGTTAGCATATAGATAATTTCAATATCTTGATTTTTTTTTTACGAACAATATTTTGATGTTGTTATCTATGTGGTATAATTTAATATTTTGATATTATTTTATCTATGTAATATTTAATGTTCCATACAAGCCGCGCTCGGGGCGTCGCACCACTCCTAGCCCGACCCTCGCAGAAAAAGAGAATCCGTCGCCGGAAAAAATCACAGGGAGAGAGAGTTCGTTAGCACGCCTCACATTTTGGAAATTCTTAATACGTTGACTTTTACATTTTTTTTTAGCTCTTAATAATCTATATTTAGCAGTGACAGCTGACATAGTAAAACTCAAATTCATTCTCCTAACCGAACCCATTGCTGGGTGAAGTTCAGCGTCTATGTTTAGATGCTGTCCCAATAAAAATTACAGAAGTGAATCAGGAACGAAATTCGGATTATATTAATCTGATTTGTTCAGTTTGTGGTAAGTTAGATTCCAACGAGAGCTTCGCCAACTTTTTGGTCCTACTTTTCTTTGGAATCTGTCACCGTTTTGGGTGAAAATTCATGTTTGCTTTCATCGCAGATTAAAAACAATTCAAGTTTCAAGGCCGAGGTCTGAAGGGGTGTCATGGCCGAGAAATTGAATGACACCGTGGAAGACGACGCTGTGGAAAAACCTGACTCGAAAGAAAAGAAGTTGTCTTCAAAGGTGAAGGAAAAGAGTGCAAGCTTCAACGATCGAGGAATATGTGTGAGAGCGGACAAGATTGATTTCAAGGATTGGGATTGTCAGCTGGACAAGCACTTGAATAAGGTTTTGTCGAGAGAGGCAACGCGGAAGAGGAAGGAAGACTGGGAGATCGATTCCTCCAAATTGGACATACGGCGTGCTATCGATCACGGAGCCTATGGAACAGTCTACCGTGGCGTTTATGACGGCCAAGACGTTGCTGGTAAATTTCTGCTGAATCTCCAATGATTCGATCATGCTCTTATTCTCGTTCATGAATGGATTGCTATATTCTTGTAAAAGTAGATTCGTTGGTTTTTTGCAAATTTTCGACAATCGGAGCGTATGTTAAAATAATTAAGCGCCGTTAGATTAAACCGTGGTTGAGTGAGTCTTAATTATACACGCACACAATTAATTTAGGGTGTTCATGACATTTAATAGCGGACCGTGCCTCAAAGATTAATTTTTTTTTAATGGGAACCGGCTGAACCATCAATTTATTTTGTTTCATTGATTTCTGTTATTGGTTTGACATTTTTACGAGTTCTCGAGTTTTTTTTTTTTAAAAAAAAAAATTTACATGATTCTAGATTGGACCGGCAATTTTATAATTGAATTGGCTAGTGTTTTTGGTCGTTCTGGTTCAGTTTTTATTAACATTGTTATATGTTGTTTTTTATTTGATTATTGGACTGTATTTCCATTGTGCCTTGATGAACATGTGATAACTGTCATTCACAGTGAAGGTATTTGATTGGAGGGACACTGACAAGGAAGCAGCCGCTATTCGGGCATCGTTTCAGCAAGAGGTTGCTGCTTGGCATAAGCTTAACCATCCAAATGTCACAAAGGTATACATAAATCTTCCTGATCTACTGCTTTTGGAGGAACAAGACGACACACAATTACAGAAAATGAGAATTTATGGACTGCTTGTACATATCGTACATGTGATTCAGACTATTATAGATTGTTTTAGTTCTTATATAAATAAAACTAGATGATAATGATGAAATTTCTATGCAGTTTGTTGGAGCTTCCATTGGGAACTCGTTTGTGAAAATTTCTTCTGAAGACATATCAAATGAAGTTTATTCATTTATTCCGGCCCAGGCCTGTTGTGTTCTTGAGTTTGTTCCTGGAGGGACGCTGAAGAAGTTTCTGATGAAGAACAGAAGGAAGAAACTGGATTTTGATGTTGCAATCCAACTTGCTTTGGACCTCTCCAGAGGGTCAGTTTATCGCTTCTCGCAAAATCAGGAATGAATTCTTGTAAGGCTATATATATAATAGGTGTATTTGACTACAATGGTGTCTTTTTTTGTGCGGTCAATTTTAGTTTGAGTTATCTTCACTCAAAGAAGATTGTGCACCGGGACGTGAAGACAGAAAATATTTTATTGGATGCAAACGGAACTGCGAAAATTGCTGATTTTGGCGTTGCTCGAATTGAGGCTCTGAACCCATGTGAAATGACTGGGGGGGTTGGAACCCCTTGCTACATGGCACCAGAGGTAACCTGTTACCTGTTTTTATTACTACTTTGCAAAAGTCTGATTCTGATATACTATAATCTAACTGGATCATTATCATGCTCAAATTTTCCAATAAGCACAACTCATTTCACTAAAACGCTTCTAGAAATTCTACTATTCTCGTTTTTTGTGGGGTGTATAGATTTCTGCATTCTAGACAGATGAAGAACAATTATTTGGTGGCAGGTGCTTAATGGTAAGCCTTACAATAAGAAATGTGACGTCTACAGCTTTGGGATATGCTTGTGGGAGATATATTGCTGTGACTTGCCTTATCCTACTCACAAGTTTTCTGACGTATTTACTGGAGTTGTCCGACAGGTTTGCAAATTTTCCTCTCTTAATTTCAGCTTTATGCCGCGCATCATTAGCCGAGTCTTGCATTGAGTGAAACTGTTGTACCTTTGAACAGAATTTGCGACCAGAAATCCCAAGATGTTGCCCAAGTTCACTGTCGAGAATCATGCGAAAATGTTGGGATGAAGACCCGGACAAGCGTCCTCAGATGGAGGAAGTGGTGAGAATGTTGGAGGCAATAGATACAAGCAAGGGAAGACGCATGATTTCAAAGGACCAATCTAGTTTTTGGTGTTTTTGTCCTGGTGGAGTCCTTTAATTTTCTGCATCTCTCTCTTCATCTATGTTCTGATTTCCTTTTATCATGTTTATGGTAGGAGCTAGATCTCTGTAGACTTTTACTTTTTTTTTTTTTTTTTTTGAATTAGAGCAGCATTTTATTTTAATTTTTGCTTGCACTTATTTGCTATATTTTGAAGATTCAAATTCGACATTTAGTGGACGAAACTGAGTCTAGACATCAGCTTTTAATTGGTGGTGGACAGCGCTATAAAAATAGCTAATTAAGATTATATTCTGATTCAAAACAAGGGAAATGATTTTAGTTAGTCAAATTTTGTAAGATTGAGAGTATGAAATTTTGAGAAATAAAATTTAAAATCTAAAAAAGTGATAAGAATCATGTTGATTTTAAAAATTAATATTCATTTTGTTTGAATTTATTATTCAATTTTAAATGATATTATGAGGATGTTTAAATTTAATATTAACAATATAAATACGAGTAATAATTTCAAAAAGTAATAGTGATAATTTAATCTTATGATTTTAATAAAATAAATATTTTTTAAAGATTTTTGACTGCCAATTTTTAAATATTTTTTATAGAAACAAACAAATATCAAGAAAAAAAATTAATACAGATTCTTTTGTCATTTTATATTCTATCATGGTCCGGGATTCTTTCAGCTACATTTATACCCGTTCAACTTTGAAGATGACTATAATTTCGGATAAAAATAACAATCTAAACAAATATGGGGCTATTTGATTTGTGCTTTTAAAAATTGTTTCCGTTTTTTTTAAATAAATAATTCATTTAAATAAGTGTTTCGAATTAAAATATCCTTAACATGTTTATTTTTTATTTTTTAAAATTAGAAAATAAATATCTTAGAATTATGCTTTTTTTAAAAACATTATTTTTGGTTGTTGAAAATTACCGTCATGACCCTGCTGCTATCGATTACCCTCGTCTGCCTATTCCAACCTTTATCGTCAACCGGTTATTATTGTTAATTTCCAATGGCTATTAACGTTGGTCACCGCCATTGACCGTTATTATTAACCATTATCACTTAGCTAATCACATGTTGGTCATTTGTCAACTAATCATCACCATCCTCCATCCTCGACCATTGCTAACTACTATCAACTTATCGCCAATATTTATCTTACGAATTATGACCAACCACTATTATAGACATAACCATGAACCACATGTGACCAATACCATCCATCCATTGTTCAATGTCTATCAAACAAATCATTATAATGTCTTTATCAAAATTCAGGATTGAAAAGAGAATGGAATGGGACAAGGATCTGATCATCCGGAATCGTGAGGCCAGCATGGAGACAAAAGAGTAATACCGAAACCGAGAGCACAAAATAAGACGCAGTCTCGAGCGTGGAGGAATGAATGATGGTGACAATGAGTGGACAACCGAAGCCCAAACAAAGAATGCAAATTGCCGGCCACTAGGCGGATCGCATTTCTCACTCAATCCCGACTTATCGCCCTCACTCCAACTCCAACGAAACACATCATCACCGACCTTCGCACTCTCCACTCTCCCTCTACTGATTGCAAAATTGTCACTTTAACTGCTATTTTCTTGATTACCACATCATTCACCCCTTAATCACGGCTTCTCTATTTGTGCCAGAAATAAAAATAAAAGATGATGAGTCCATTTTGTACAGATTTGGTTGATCAATTCACAATACAAATTTATGTATAACGATGTAAAATCTTAAAAACTAATATGTGTGTGTGTTGCAAATTAAAATATAGGAGTATCTGGTTACCAAAATAAATATTAAATTGATAAACATGACATTTTAAAAAATTAAAGCATAATATTTTTTAGCTCATGTCAAGAACTCAAGATAATTTTAGTTTTGTCACTGACTACACGGCTAGACTTCGTTTCTCTCCCCTAACTTTCTCTTCATTTCCTCTCCACTAACTAAAATAAAATCTGAACCATCCAGATTTGGTGGAGATTAAATCTGGATGGTCACATTTAATATCTTTATTTTTATTTATATTTATATTTTATATTATTAAAATTAAAATTAAAATTTTAGTAAATTTACTCTATTATCAATTTGGACAGTAAAAATTTAATATGTTCAATTTAATTTAATTTCAAATTTTTTTATAATTTTTATAAATTTATATCTAGATTTACTTTGAAAAGTTCAGATTTAATATTAATTTTTTAAATTTTTATAAATTTTTTTTGCTAAACATAAGTTAAAAGTGAAGATAATCTCCCGATTGACACTTTCTAAAAAAAATATTTTTATAAAAAATTATATAAGTTAAAAAATTTAAATCCAAATCATTTAGAGTAAATCTAAATAATTAATTTATAAAAATTTAATATTTATTTTTGGACCCTTCAAATTAAATTTGGACTATTTGATGGGTGATAAAATAGATTTATCAAAACTTTTAATTTTAAATTTAATAAGTATAAAATAAAAATATAAATAAAGAATAAAAATTTTAAATCTGAATCATACAAATTTATTCTGCATTAAATATGGATAGTGCAGATTTTATTATAGTTAGTGGGGAGGAAATGGAAGGAAAGGCTAGTGGAGGGGAGCCAAGCCCTGCATGGCTACTACATACACCCCTGACTCCGTCGTTTTTATTTTTCGGGAGTCATAGAAAATAATGAAAATTAAATAAAACTATAAAAGAAGATCTAGAATCCTACATGAGTATTACAAAGAGTTCAAAACTATAATACTATTTGCGGCTTCACAACTATCAAATATAGCATTTTCAGTAATTTATAAAGATTAATAATATAATTTTTTAAATAACAGAATAAATGAGCAAATTATTCTCAAAATTTTAAACAATATTTGGGAGTTTTTTTTTTTAAATGAAATGGAATATAATGGGATGATTATAAGCCTTATACATTATTTGAGATAAATTTTTAAAAAAGTGTAAAATGATTTAGAGCTTTAAGTTCATTTTTCTTGACCTCAATTTGAAGTCAGATGATTAAATGACATGATATAAATAAATTTTTTTATAAAATTATTCTCATCAATCTCACCCTTTTCTCACCTTTCACTTTTTTTTTTTTGCTATAAAACTGCAAAACATAATTATATATAATTCAAATTTATTAATTTTAATTAATTCATCATAATGATTAATAAAATCATTTCTTCTTTTAAATAAAACCTACATCAATGAAATGTTGCTTTCCATTCCACGCTCTTCCACTTTCCTTCATTTATTTTTCATTAATTAATGTTGCTTTCCATTTCATCATATCTCTCAAATATATCCTTAAATCTAGTAGAATTATAGACCATGAACTCATTCATTAAATAAATTATTTTTCATTTTTAAAAAATGATGTAATTTGATTTAATCATTAACAAAAATTAACTTTAAATATTATTGGATGAGAAAATGACATAAAAAAAACCTCACAAATTACAATAAATGATCTAAAAATTATAAACAATCTTTTTTTTTTAAATTTTAGGTTCTTATCCATAATTTTTTGAAGCATTTATTGTAATTTTTTGTCATTTTTTAATAAATTTTAGGTTATTTTTTTTTTATTTGTTAGTTAAGATTAAAATTAATCTTTGCTAATAACAGGGTACGCCGTTTTCAAAAGTTTCGAAAGAAAAGTTCTGCAAGTTTTCCTGGATCTAAAATTCATTTGCCGATTCACCTTAAATAAGTCGATAGCTCCCAGAAAACCTGGTACCGTGTTTGCACTTTGAGTTTGGACAGTAATCAGTAGACCTGATCTGGGAGCGGGGTGAGGCATTTCTGCGCCAACGTCTTGTTTCTTTGCCCTTGTCACGCCCTCCGCAATGTCATCGTTGCTCACTGACTTCCTTCGTCAGGCAGGTGGCACCGCCGTCATCGACGGCGGCCTCGCCACGGAGCTCGAACGCCACGGTGCCGACCTCAACGAGCCTCTTTGGAGTGCCAATGCCCCTCGCCTCGCCCCACCTCATTCGTGAGGTACTCTTTTCCAGATTGAAACTATCAGTTCCGGGTTGTTTAGTAGTTATTGGAATCCAAAATTGTTCCCGATATCCACTCCAGAGAGTAGTGGCCTCTCTCTGGGAATTGTCAATTTTGCGGAGTCTGATGATTCTGATTTAGCTAGTGGCATAGTGCACAAGCATCACACACTATTGATTCATATTTGTGAACCTTGTAAATTTTATTTGTTTGTTTATGTAATTAGTTATTTATTTATGCTTTTCTCCTATTTTGCAAAATATTGTAGCTCCGTCTCTATATTGCCATTTTTGGGGTTTCTGAACCTGAAATCACCGTTCATCTTTTAACTGGATTTACGACAGGTTTCTTTTGTCTTCGTTGTTTTCTCCTGTTTAGTAAGTTTAGACGCTGGGTAATTTTACGGACCTACTTGATGGAGCAGGTGCATCTTGATTACCTTGAAAATGGTGCCGATATTTTAATCACAGCATCTTATCAGGTAAGTACTTTTCGCTAAGGATGCGCTTTCATATGTTTGCTCGTCTTGAAACGAACTTGAGGCCGTTGTGGTTTGCATAGGCCCACCATTCAAGGTTTTCGAGCTAAAGGCTATTCTAACGAAGAAAGTGAAGCCTTGCTCAAAAAAAGTGTTGAAATTGCTCTCGAAGCTCGACGCATATATTATGAAAGATGTGCTACATCTTGTTCAGAAAGATGAACGTGATGGTAAAGTTTTCAAACAACGTCCGATCCTGGTGGCAGCATCATTCGGCAGCTATGGAGCTTATTTGGCTGATGGGTCAGAGTAAGGTGATACGACCAGTCTTTGCTGTTCAATGCATTAATTCTGATTTTATTTAGGTATGGCACCATGTAAGTTTTGTACTGTTGATTGAAAGTCACAATGATCGTCACAATATTGGTTGAACACTGTCAGTAGCTACTTGCACGCATGCGCACTGTTGAGCTTTTCTATTAAGAACTATAAACAAGTTTGGAAAAAGAATGGAGTTTTATAAACACGCTCATAAACTAGCTCATAAACTAGTTTTGTCAGTAATCACATTTCCTCATATTTTCTTTTTAACAGTGGCGATTATGGTGATGGCATTACGTTGGAAACTCTGAAAGATTTTCATAGGAGAAGAGTTCAAATATTAG